TGGCAGCCCAGCCTGCGCTCGGGACTGCCTGACTCAGAATTAGCTGAAGAAATTCATGAACAGAAATCAGCATTTAACAATTGTAGCCAAACTGAAAATCTTTCAAAACTGAGGCACATACCAAAGAGCTTTTTTTTAAAAAAAGTACAATTAACCAATCAAGACCAAACAATTTGACTTCTGCCAATAGCATTTAATGTAATTGGAAAAAAGCATAGGAAAAGGTCCTGAAAAGTGAATGCACTCTCTCTGTAAGGCCAACTTCATTGTTTGGGGATTATTCTAAAATTTGAAAGTTTCTCTCCCAAAATACATTGTTACTTCTCTTTCAGTTTTTATGGATGCACCTTTAAGAAATCTGTATTTGTTTCTTCATTTAATTTGGCTGCCTGTGTAGCTCTCTGAACATGAGTGCTTTAAAAATCAATGCTTATTATTACTGTGCTGTTCCATAGCTTTGAAAATTGTAATAGCAGTTTTGTTCATAGCTCACCACTTTCTCATCTCTGTATCTTTGCAAAAAGTAGCTGAATATATGTAGTCCTCAATTCATGACCACAACTGGGACCAGAACTCCTGTTGCTAAGCAATATAGCTGTGCTGGTGAACCTATGGCACGCATGCCAGAGGTGGCACAGAGAACCCTCTCTGTGGGCACGGACACCGTTGTCAGCTGCTCTTTGGGTTTCCAGCACATGCACGCCGGAAACCCAAAGACCAGCTGGCCAGTGCATGCATGTGCACCGGCTGGCTGGTCTTCGGGTTTCTGGTGCTTTTGGCACATGCATGCACACATATTCCGGTTTGGGCACTCGGTGCCGAAAAGGTTCACCATCACTGCAATATAGTCATTAAGTGAATTGATTTTACAACCTTTTTTGCCAGTTAAGCAAATCATGCAGTTGTTAAGCAAATCCGGCTTTTCTCGTTGACTTTGCCTATTGGAAGACCCCTGGGAAGATGGTTGTAAATGACAATCACATAACCTAGTTGTAAGTATGAGGACCGGTCAATGGTCATCAGATTTGGTTTTTTTTAATTCTTTTCTTTTTTTGCAATTTTCTTTTCCATACATATTTTGTGGACGGTGTATTGACTGGGTCAAATCTTTTCTAAACAATGCTAACAGTAACAATAATAAGAGCCAAGGTGGCGCAGTGGTTAAATGCAGCACTGCAGGCTACTGCTAGATCAGCAGGTCAGCGGTTCAAATCTCACCGGCTCAGG